GTGTGATAGTGGTTCTCACTCAAAAAACTTAAGGCTATCGATGAGTCAGTAAGTAGAGTTTCTCATGCTGAGTGAGAACCACTATCACGCGCAGGCAGCTGTTCGCAGATTGCCGTTCTGCAGGCGGAACTTTAAACGTTAATAACTTTTTAACGAAACCTCCATCAACAAATTGGTATTCTTGGTTTTCGTCTCATTTTGGCCTCTAGAATCTCCCATTCAAATTTTTCCTAGAGGTGGCCAAACACCCTGTATATGCCAGTGTAAAATATAAAACAATTCCATTTTTTTGTTATGCTGCAATAAATAATAATAAATGATCATTTAATAAGAACTGTTTTATACAAAATCAATTTGCCGCACGCAACGCGTCTAATTTTCTGTCAAACTGAAGCACCCTTGATCCCTTATACTTCGTCTGTCATCGTGAACGTCGTGCACAGCCGGGTTAACGAATTATGTCTAATCTATGCATCCGCTTATCATAATGGTTCTCGTTATATCGTGAGCATAGCTTCCAAAGCTCGGAAAACCGCTTCCTCGACTACTGGTGTCGTGCCCTGACCATCCTCTTTCGCGTGCCATGCTGTCACGAGAACATAATAAAAATATTCGGAATAACTGAACGATATTACGTCGTTACGGAGTCAGTGGCTTCTTCCTAAACCTCTGCATTGATGTCGATTGAAAATTGTTGTAACGTAAACAGTCTGGTATATTATCGAATTATTAAGTCTCCATCGTGTATGTGATTTAGATAATAAAACAAAAAAACATTCTTATCGCTCTCAAGAAGTAAAATTTTTTAACCGTTTATGATCCAAAAATCCAAGATATAAATATTCGATAGGCCGAAAAGGGCGCGGTATATTATCCTAGGCATCACACCCCATTTAATTCGAGCAAGTCATACTTCTAATTACTTTTCAGCGGGAGTTTTATTATTCTTCTCAGCTGGCATTCCGATTTATTATATTTGTTCCCTTGTATTCTCAGCGACTATCTAGTTTTAATTATTTCGCTAAACTAAATTTTTTTTATTACTTATATGAATCATTTTACGTAATTTAAATATGTCATTGTAGATAGCTTTAATCGGACATTGGTAACTATGTTAAGAAAGTAATCGGGTAGTACAATCGTACACTGAACCGTCGAATCAACAATCGCCTAAAAATCTTAAATGAAATGTAATCAATGTTCTACCCAAGTTAGATATTCATCCAACTATGGACTCGGCTAACCGGAAGAGAAATCCGGGCACGCGGATGAGCATTAATGGCTTTATAATCTAATGAATTTTTAGGTTAAGCGGCGAAAAGACCAGCGGGAGATTCGGATAGGTTTTTCCCCAAAATTTATTGCCGAGAAGGAAAAGATGAAAGCGAGAGAGATGGTCGCTTATCTCTCGTTCGCCATTACATTCAAACCGATGTATCGCACCGGGGTAGATTCTAATTTTATTTCTCAAGAAAATTCTGATTTTGCATATCTCTCGCGAAAAGAAGTAGTTCAAGAGCTAACTAATATAAATGAAAAACAAAATTGTTCACGAAACTTTATTGTTGCGTCGTCGTGAGTTATATTTATTCAAGCGCGTTCTTACGTTCTCGCTGAGTACCATAGACTGCGTTTTCTTTTTATTTGTAAATTATTTGCTATTTTAGTTGAATTTAAGGTGTTTGTTAAAAATAACAGGGAAGAGAAGAGTATTCTTTTTTATCAGACAAATTTGAAGACAATATAATTCACTAACGTAGAAGAAAAGCAAAGAAGTAGGCAAACAACCTGGGTAAATTATCAGGGAACACTGGGGGTTAAGCGGGTTGGTGAAAAGCCGCGACGGAAGCGCAGGTAACTTAACCACAACGAAGGGAAATACGACGGAAAAGTTTCTAGAACAAAATGATACGACACCGCGTAAGATCCGCTTTGATGCCGGGTCCGTGCCATTCTTTGTAAAAATTGGAAGAAAAGCGCGGCGTAAAAAGCTCCGCTCTGCCCGGAGTTAATACGTTTACGTAGGAAAAATTATTTTTAATTTTTTCTAGACTGCTTCCGACGAGAGGTGTACAACCACGGCACGAGGGTGTGGCAGAATGCGCAGCACTACCGTGTAAGAATTTCTTAATTAGATTCAAGCAGCTGCCTGGCTCTCTTTCTTTTCTTCTACCAAGATATTTCACGTAGGTTCATGATGGCTCGCGACGTACCTGCGGACCTCTGCATGCCTCGAGTCAAAAAAGTTTGAGCATTATTAGACATTTTTTATTCCTTTGAAACTATAGAAACTGTCAGATTTATGATATTCAGACTGCAACGGAACTACATTGGAATAGGTACACGTTTATTGAGAAAGGGGTTGTACCCATCCGTCTACGAGATTACGATGGGACATCTTCCTTCCTCAGGCTTCGAGTAATTTCACTTGTACCTCTAAATCTCTAACACGACTGCGACACATCCATGGGACAACTTTGTCCGACGCATTTTATTTAGTTGCTCTTGAGATAGTGAATCCGAGAAAGAGAAAAACGAACAACTACGATAAGTTCGATATTCAGAAACGCGCAAACTGGTTACACCGGTGTTAGCGGGGAAACACGTGTGGTACGCTGGTGCGTGCAAGGATGACCATAAATTTTGATAATTCCGAAATTGTGACAGAACGAAGAAAAATCCCCACGAGACTGTGGTGCAAAGTGCGAATAAATCGTTGCGTGTGCCTTTGTCAACGAAGCATGAAAGGTTGGGCGTACAAAGGGAAAGACAGAAAGCCAGCCATCCAACCAGAGAGAGAGAACGATGAAAACGGAAGGGAAGGGGGTCAGACCGAGGCGCTGGGGTTGACCACGTCGTCTGGTTTTCAACCGACTCTCTCTACTGGTGCGTGCATGCGTACATTTTTATCAATTATTAAGAACTCTGGCGTGCTTTTGCAACGAGGCGCTGGTGATGGTGAAGTTACTTTCGTCCTTGTCGTTGGTATGCCTGGTGTAACCAGTCGTTGCTGGCGATACCCTATGCCCACCGACCTTTTTTGTTTCCTTTTCCACCCCCAGCCTCTCCTCTGCCCTCTCTCGTTCCCTATTTCCGTCAGGTCCTTTCTCTCGCTTTTTCTACGTGACTCTCTCTTTTTCTTCTGTCTCCCACACACCCCCTTCCCCCCTCCCCTCTTCTCCCCACCCCTTCCCTAACCTCCCTTTCTCCCTTGCCCAACGTGCCGCGGACATTAATAACGGCCACGGGCTAACCACCGTCAACCCCCTTTGCCAGCGTTACCGTGTCCAGCCACGGAAAGTGCGAGAGTAATAATAAAATATACGAAATGTAGGCGACCATCGTTGCCACGGCCCGACTCGTCCCGTGAAAAACAAACACTGCGACGCTTTGGTGTATTCCTTCGTTATGTGCGAGGGTATGACGATCGTGAAAGATTACGGTAATTTGCGTTAAATAACAACACGTCACGGGCCGTAAGTAGCGAAACGAGAGACGCGAATGCTGCTTTCGACACTTACACATGACTGTTGAAATAACAGTGATTACTAATGATTTTCTTTTAAGAATTCTCTTATACGTCGATGCACGCTAGCAGAATTCTCGAAACGTTTGTCCTCGATTATATGCGCTTCTTCCAGGACCAATCATATACAGGTTTCGTAAAGTCGGGCATAATTTAATTAATAAATTATGAGAAGTTCGTAAATTCTCGACGAATCCAATTACACGAGTTATCATTGTTGGCTACTTTACAGATTTACTTAAAGTTTTGCGTGTTTTAATATTAGATATATTCTATAACATTTCGTTCTAGTAAGTTTACAAATATTACGTCACTATATAAGATGTTCCGCTGTCGATGATCGACACGATCGAAAAACGATGACCCAGTAATATTACAATGTAATAAGATGTGATTCTATGTGTAAAAGTAAATAAAAAATGAAGAATAACATTCATATGAACCTTCGTTTTCGAAATAATTGAATTTGAAAATTTGTCAGCTACGCGTACGATTGAATACAACTTGGCTAGCGCGTCTAACCATTACTCGCTGTTTCTATTTGCTCCAAACGAAGCATTATACGAATCAATGATTTCTTTTTTGTATTCAGGGTGTTCGGCCACACCTGGCAAAAATTTTAATGGGAGATTCTAGAGGCAAAAATAAGACGAAAATCAAGAATATCAATTTCTTGGCTAAAACTTCGTTAAAAAGTTATTAAAAAATTAAATTAAAAAATTTCAAATCATTCTGAAAAAATTATTTTTGGTTGCGCAGGTCAATTACAATCATTTTTGGTCAATACGCATACCCCCGAATTCCTACCCAGTTTCGAGAAAAAAATTCGTTACCGAAAATATAATGTCTGATCATAGGTGAATGATTCCCCTGAAATTTCACGTGTTTCAAATCGTTCTGGAAAAATTATTTTTGGTTGCGGAGGTCAATTACAATCATTTTTGGTCAATACGGATACCCCCAAAATCCTACCCAGTTTCGAGAAAAAAATTCGTTACCGAAAATATAATGTCTGATCATAGGTGAATGATTCCCCTGAAATTTCACGTGTTTCAAATCGTTCTGGAAAAATTATTTTTGGTTGCGGAGGTCAATTGCAATCATTTTTGGTCAATAGACATACCCCTGAAATTCTACCTACTTTCGAGAAAAAAATTCAGTACGGGCGGGACTTTAAACGTTAATAACTTTTTGACGAAGCCTCCATCAATAAATTCGTATTCTTAATTTTCGTTCTATTTTGGCCTCTAGAATCTCCCATTAAAATTTTTCCCAGGGGTGGCGTAACATCCTGTATATTTACACTTATTTACAGTTATACAAAAAAATATGAAACAAATAAAAATATTTATTCTTGTCAAATATACATATATTCTCAAGGAATATACGATACACGAAACAAATATTAATACAAACGTTATAATTGCTGTTATATTAATCGTCTTATGGATTTATTCGTATCTTCTAATTTCAGGGTTAACAAATTCGATCATTTTAACGCAACGGTAGAGATACGGAAGGCAAGATGGCATCCTGGTTCTACGAATGACTCCCACTTACTGGTTCTGACATCCGAAAATACGTTTCGGTAACGTATACCTGTAGACATAATTCTATATTACAATTTCGTTGTTTTCTAGTCGCATGGCTTTGTCCGTACCGCGCGACACTTACGAACGATTCACTGTATTCATTATTCCTAAAAATTTTTTTTAATTTCAAATAGACCCCCCAAAAAATTAAATTATAGAGAAAAAAAAAAAGTTAAATGACAACGTAATATTTTTTCCGTGTATTTTCAGCAATTAGAAACTTATACACGAAGATTCTTGCCCCCTAAAAAATTGTTTAGCTATAAATAGGTAAACACCCTCCTTTGTGGGGATACATACATAACCTATAACGACTGTCCCCGTTGAACTCATACATGTACCCGTAACTCCCAAACGGCTAACAGAAGCGAAAAAACTCTGAATATTATAGAATGAATTACCGAAGAACAGCCGAATAATTAAAGAGTGAAAACTTTGGCCTCGTGAAGCGATAACATAACTTGAACCATTTTCTTAATTGCTTACTGTAAACGGGGCTTGTAAATTAAAAGTTTGAAGAGCTTACGCGAAGAGGTTCAAGTATCTCTACAAGTATCGCGAAACTGACCCTAAACTGCGTTTTACTTTCTCCCAGTTTATACGAGTGCGAACTCGGTAGCACGCCAAGGCTCATAAAATGTTGGAAGGTCGGTCGTATGCCATTGGGCTCACCATCAAAACTACCGGACTTTGCCTCCCTCGGCGACACCGCGGTGGACTTTGACTTTGCTACACCTACTCTTCGTAAACCGGAAATGTTTGCCGGCAAAGACATTAACAAGGTATGGAAGAAAAGTATAAAACGATCGTGGCACTGGAACCACGAAATTTCAGTCAGAATTATTTTCAGAACAATGCGGTTGATTGGAATCAGATCGAATGGCCCATTCTAGTTCTCCGTGGCAACGGAGAGGTGCTCATTGTTCGTGGCAATGTTTTGCTCGATGAGTATGTAATTTCTAAATAAATTTTATAGCATTAAGTAGCATTGCATAAAATTGTCGATATTAGATTGGATTAACCACGATTATGATAATAAAATAATCTTTTATATCAGGAGTCGGCAAACTGCGCCCCACCGACAGTTTTTTTATAGCCCGTGATTGTATTTAAAAATACACTGGCGTTGTCCTGATGGAACACAACACCTCTTCTGTTGGCCAATTCTGGCCGCTTCAGGTCGATCGCTAGCTTCAAAACGGTCCAATTGTTGACAGTAGAGGTCCGAATTTAGTGTTTGCCCATATGGAAACAGCTGTTGGATGATCAACACGACCATAGAAACACCACCAGTCGTATCACAAACATTACTCATCCAAACATCCTAGTCACGATTTCTAATCCTTACTCATTCTAAACCTCGCATCCTTCCTGAGTCACACTGTCCCTTGACCATCGTCCCTACCTCTACCTATTTCCAGCAGTAGTATACATATATCCTACCGACTTCCCACCAAAATTTCAAACATCAAGAGAAAAAAGTGATCGGTTTGACGTATAATGATCTTATAGTATTTGGCTCATCAGAAACAGTTTGCCGACACCTGTTCTATATAAGTAAAATTATAATTTTACCTGTCGTTGTAAAATGTTTAGACGATTTCGGCATAGACTATTTAAATCAAATTACAATATATTAAACTATCACTATACTGTTCCATATCCATATAACAGATAACAAGGTAGATTAATTATTATCGTTTATACTAAATTAACAGCAGCTACTTAACAAAGTCGGTAAAAGCATTGTCATTTAAAATAACATACCATTCGGCTTTTGGGTTAAATTTTTTTCAGTATACAAAATTATAATATAAAAAAGTGTTGACTCGAGCACACAAGAATACAGTCAAGATTATACAAAATTGAATTTTTCGCTAAACCTTGAAAAACTCTAATACATTACACAACGTGCATGTTATAAACTCTCAAGCAAATCCGAAATTATATTGTACTCTTCTTGTTCCGATTATAATCATTTGTTATTTTTCATATATCATTAATCTTGTCAAGTCATGAAAGCCCAGTGGTATCAGGATCACTCTCTATGTATCCTCCAGCCGACGACAATTATGGGATAGACTCGTGTTCCATAATGTGCATACAAACTACACCGCCGATAGTGGTTATCGCTACGTGTAGTGGAAAGATTTATCACGTGATATTGTTGAAAGAAGAATCAGACGATGACAACGATGACGACAGAAGGGTGAGTGTTCCACGAATTAAATTTCCAAAGCCAACTGCTAAACCTAATACTTTGAAACTATTTGTAAACATTAAAAACTAATGATTTACAAGCTTTAAATATATCTAAAAAAGTATATTTGTCACAGCAATATAGAAACGGGGATTTGATTTATTCGTTCGACGTATCAACCTATCGTAAAGAAATTCTTCAGGAACTTTTTCAAATTATATCACGAAAATATATCCATAAAAATTTAACGAGATAATAATATTAACTGGATTTAAAATTGGCCACCAAATTTCTTCAGAAATAGCTGTAATTAATGTAAAAGTTTCACAAACAATTTTTGCGAAGAATGTATCGTAATTCTAAGATCGAGTGATTTGTAAGATCACTCCGTGAGTTCCGCGACGATGTAATAAGATGATGACTATATCAAAATACTCTTAATACAATCTAATTCGATTTATTCAAAAATAAATTAAATTGTGGCGCTGCTGGCTAAGGTTAGAAACTCGGGAGATTCGTAGGAGGCTGAAAAAGAAAGGAAGGGGCTCGTTTCGTCTGTGCCTGCTAGTGGACTCTCATCAGTAAGGCTTCCTAGCAGGTCCTGCCTTAGACGACTGGTATATTGGGAAGTCGTTCGAGGAATGTACATTAGCAACCGAGGAGTCGTTCGAGCGCTTGTGAGAGCGCGACCCCTCTGGTGGCGAGCATGGGAGACGACACCACAAAATATAAATATACAGGGTGTTCGGCCAACCTTGGGAAAAATTTTAATAGGAGATTCTAGAGGCAAAAATAAGATAAAAATCAAGAATATCAATTTCATGACTGAGGCTTCGTTAAAAAGTTATTAAAAAATTAAATTAAAAAATTTCAAATTATTCTAAAAAAAATTATTTTTGATTGCGGAGATCAATTACAATGATTTTTGGTGAATACACATACCCCCGAAATCCTACCCACTTTCGAGAAAAAAATTAGGGTAGATGGATAAATTTTTCGCCGAAAAAAAAATTTCAAATCGTTTTGGAAAAATTATTTTCGGTTGCGGGGGTTAATTACAATCATTTTTTGTCTATAGACATACCCCCGAAATCCTACGCATATTCGAGAAAAATATTCAGTACGGACGGAACTTTAAACATTAATAACTTCTTAACAAAGCCTCCATCAACAAATTGGTATTCTTGATTTTCGTCTTATTTTGACCTGTAGAATCTTCCATTAAAATTTTTCCCAGAGGTGGCCAAACATCCTGTATACAAGTGGATCTCAAACGCTAGTTATACTTATAAGAATTGATTATTCTAAAAATTGATGTGGATGGATTGAACGTGTTAGTTTCGAAGTTGATTTTTAACTGTCGTTTTGAAGTTTGTATCGGTTATTTAAATGCTGCTGATTTTTTGGAAGAGGCACCAAAACTGGGGTTGTAACTATGTCTACCGGAAGATCCGCCTTTATACTGACAAGAAATATATGGGAAATTGTTACCAGGGTTGACCCTGGGCCGTCGTCGGTACGATCGGAGCTTGCGGTCTAACCCAGGTGGTGAGCACCGATAGAGACATACGCAATAAAGTCGTAGGTTCGTTAGATCTGCAAGGCATATTTGCAATGACGAACGAGTCGTAAAAGAGAAAGATTTCTGTAACTTCTTGAAAATAATTTTGATGGATGACTGCTGCTACATCGAATGGCGTATGAGTTTATTGCTGGTACGTGCTTCTAAAAAGGTTTGATGTTTTTGTACGTTTTAAAGATTTAGTGAAGAATAAAAAATGTTTTCGAATACGTGGGGGTTCGGAACTGAACAGAATGCCCTTACCTTCGTGGGCTGAAACGTCGAATAAATAAATCCTCGTTTCTGTATTGCACTCACGATCAATTTTCTTTGAAACTTTTAGACGTGGTCACAATACAGTTCCACCTATAGTCTTCGCATACCAGACGATGCCCTTTATGTCTACGAATGTGTTGAGATCGAACTGGGACTCTTTTTCGCGGACAACGATGAAAAATACAATTGCCCGATACACCTCCGTTGCGACAAGGGTAACAAGTCCAGGCAAGTTTTTGCAATCGATGCGAAGTAAAATACATAATGATTGATCATGATTCGTTATGCTTGTTAGGTACTTTTGTTCTCACAATGCCGGAATCCATATGGTCAGTTTACCAATGGTTTCTCAATTGGAGGAATTCATTAACACTTCGGAAGGTAAGGAGATTGAACATTTATTTAAATAACGATATAACTGTACGCCGTTGAATTATCAAACATTTCGTATGTTCACATTTTAATTTGAACAAATATCGAAAACATAGATAGATATGATAAATTGACGTGACAGTGAGTGTATTAGATTTGATCTGTTCAAGCTAGGACACTTCTTTTAATAGTAAATTTTTCCAGACAATGACGATGACCGTCTACCGTCGCTGTCGAATCAATCCAGTTCGCAGTACTTGATTTGTAGAAGAACTAAGCACACAGGAGTAAACGAAGCTACGTCGATTCTTGGCTTTGGACTTCTTCAAGAACCTTGTGTCTTGGTGGCTTTGTTGCACACCGGTGACATTGTTGCGCGTTCTGTCATCGATCTCCATTACTTTCCGCAGATCGAACCACCGGAGCCCATAATTAATACAGAAAAAAAAGTAAGCAGCATTCTTGACATCTATTGATTCACTTTTACTATTTTAATTAAACAGATAGAACGCCAATTAACTTGGTAAGCAGAAAGACAACTCATTTCGGTAAATCCGTAATAGCACAATGTTCTCTGAGAACTTATGAATGAAATTTTATCATAAATGTCTATGGACCAAATAAAATACAGTTTACATGGGTGGATAATTACGCGACAACTCTGGGAATACCATACATACATAATTACATACTCAGATAGTAACTCCATCAGATAGTAAACTCCATATAATTTAAATCCGAATAATTAACATTCTAGTGTATCGCATGCAATATTTCAATTATACGATGTATATTTAAGGTGAACAAAGAAGATTTCGATGTCTATATAAAAAAATCGTTGAAACGCGAGACTTCTCAGCCGATTATAAAAATTGGATCGAAGTCAATGTCACCGCGAGAATGTTTGAAGGTATTCAATTAATCGAATAGATTAAGAGCGATCCGTTTGAATGGACATTGATAAAAGTTTTTTTGCAATTAGCTTTTGTATCACGCGACTGACATCTTTCGCACAGAACACTTTGTCAGACACGACAATGTGAGAAAGGACATCAGTAATAAGGTGCTTGCGTTGAAAGTTATGAAATCTCATCTGCTGAAAGAATTGGGCATTTTAATGGAGGCGAAAAAAGAATTGCAGCAGACTGCCGAACGCTTGGCTGAACGTTACGAAGATATTAAAGACGAACAGGAAAAATTAGCACAAAGGTAAGAAGAATCACAATATACAAGGTGTTCGGTCACCTCTCGAAACAAATTTAATGGGAGATTCTAGAGGCCAAAATAAGACGAAAATGGAGAATACTAATTTGTTAATTGAGGCTTTGTTAAGAAGTTATTACTGTTTAAAGTTCCGCCTTGTAGAACGGCAATCTGCGAACAGCTGTGTTCGCGCGATAGTGGTTCTCACTCAGCATGAAAAACTACTTACTGACGTACTGATAGCCTTAAAGTTTTGTAAGTGAGAACCACTAGGACCGACCTGCATGAACCTATCGCGCGTACGCAGCTGTTCGTGAATTGCGGTTCTACAGACAGAACTTTAAACGTTAATAGCTTTTTACGAAGCCTCAATTAACAAATTGGTATTCTTGATTTTCGTCTTATTTTGGCATCAGAATCTACCATTAAATTTTTTCCGAGAGGTAGCCGAACACCCTGTATACAATTCAAACGTATTACTATTTAAGATATTTTAGTTCTATTCGGAAAATTGTTAAAAGTGAATCGTATTATTGCTCCGATTCGTCAACTATTGTATTACGAGTGTTTAATCCGTGATTGAGGCATGCTTGTTCGGATATTGTAATATTACACGAAGTATGCCGACTAAGGCGAACTCGAAGGACCACCCCTTTTCAGGAGACTAAACGAAACGAATTATTTCAAAACTTAATAGAAATGTACAATGTCCGTGCCCGAGTCTATAACGATCTAAGTTGCAACGAATCTCTATGTGACTAATGCGAATTTAAAAACGGTCTGTTTGGTGATGCTAACGAATCTGTCTATTTCTAAGACGGATCTATCTAGTGAGCGATGATAACGAATCTGTTTATGTCTAAAACGAATCTGATCGGCGTTTCCGCCGTTTGCCATAACGTTGACTTTGTGCACTCCCTTCCACCAAGGGTTTTCGTAGCGGGAGTGCAGCAATGCCAACGTAGCTTGGCGTCCAAGGTGGAGGGTGCCATATTTGACACCTCCGGGACTTTCAACTGTATGCATTGGTTTCTGGGCCCGCATGCAAAACATCGATAAAACAAGGGAGACCCAGGTACACTACCGTCCATGAGTATTTGGATTCTTCACGAATGCCGGCTAAAGAGTCGATATCTTTGTTTCAATTGATGTATTTCTAATTGGATTAACATGAATTTATGTTGTTGATGTACAAGGTGTGTAAATTAAGTAATGAGACTGATTTTAAAAAATTTTTTTATTCGAATAGAATTACAATTCAATATTGTCTCCCTAAAAATAACTTCCTTGGGAAGCCACACGGCGCTGGAGACGATTCTTCTAATCCTCATAGCAATGCTGAAACTTGGATACTGTTATAGCCTTCAGCTGGTCGGTTACAGCCACTTCAATGTTTTCGAGCGCCCCAAAATAACGTCCCTTGAGGTGATTTTTCAATCTCGAGAAGAAGAAAAAATCACAAGGATTCAAGTCAGGCGAATAAGGAAACTGAGGAGCCACAGGAATGTTTTTACTGGCCAAAAACTTACAGAAATTGCTGTATGACAAGGCGCATTGTCACACTCATGACCCTTTTTCGAAGTTTTTCTAGAACCTTTCGGTAAAAATGTTGATTGATCGTTTGGTCTTGAGGCACAAACTGTTTGTGGACGATTTACTGGCTATCGAAAAAGCAAATCAGCATGACTTTTGACTTATTGTTAGAACGCACTAGAAAGAAATGTTTTACGAAAACAATTGCTACGGACAACCAAATGACTCTAGCGGGTACAAACTTGTGTCAAAAGCGTATCACACGTTCACCTACCGTCTCCCCAAGTCCCGCGTCCTAAATGTTGACAATCAAACGCTACGTTGCCAGTCTCATTACTTAATTTACACAACTCGTATAAGTAATACTAAGGTGAATTGTATGCAAAATTCTTACCGACAAATGGACGAAAATTGTTAAATATTGCCTTCATCTATATATCCACCTCGTTCGGCGATAACCGCATTGACTATTCGTAGTAGTTTCGAAGTTAATTTTTTTAGAATTTCTTCTTGAACCTCTCTTCAAGCTTCTTGCAAATAATCCCACAACTGCTTCTGTGACTTTGCATCCCTTTTTACAACTTTGCGGTACATTTCAACCCACAATTTCTTGATGGGATTCAAGTCGGGTGATTGTGGCGGCCATTGTATAATTTGCATTTCATTATTGTCTTCTAGGCTTTTTAAATAATTGGAACATATTTTCGCCGTACGTTTCGGGTCGTTATCTTGCATAAAGATAAAGTTTTCACCGATAAGATCCTTTCCTGGTGGTACCGCATGCTCGCTTTTTCAAATACTGTTTTTTCGGAGAATTCCATCAACTTTCACTAAACTTCCCACCTTGTTTGCACCAAAACACCCCCGAATCATAACAGAATCACCTCCATGCTTTACTGTGAACGATGCTCTCTTCCGAAAACTTCAAATTTTGACTTATTGGTCCAGAGCACCTTTTCCCAATCTGATGTTGTCCAATTTGCATATTGTTTTGCCCTGTTACGAGCCACGGCCGTGCAGCGCGCGTAGCCTGCGAGTGCGAGAAAGAGTATTGTTTCGACCACGAACTAATATTCGTAGTTTACACAAATCTTGCTCGTGGTCGTTGCGTATTGCACAGCCAATCTGTGCCCTTAACCTTTGCCTTAACCCTCAGAAGCTGTCGCTTCTGATACGCAGCACTGAAGTCTGCGGAGACTGATTATTGAGGTGGTTTCTCTGTTGACGTTAATCGATCAATCTGCCTTCCCATTCCGACTTTTCCCATAAGGAAACCTCGGTTTCCCCTGCCAAGGTGACAACGACGAACATTGTCTACCGGAGAGAGGATTGGTCAAGCCAATCCTCATCATCGTCACGTTGGCAGGGCGGTTCCTAACAATTTGCAACATTCCCGCCCACCCTGCCGTCCAGTGTCCAGGTAGACCATGCAGGAGTGAGCGAGAACGCTGCATTATTATTAACATTGGGAAATGCCCAATGACCGCGAGACCCCGGTGGTCCGCAGCTGTGTGCCAACGCGGGTTTACGATACGTCAATCGCTATTGAGGCAAGGAAGAGCTCCAAGGATTCCAAGTCCCGTGTGGAGTTTGGAGGTTCCTTAATGGCCGTATCCTAATTTATAAAGTAAGAATGTCTTGAAGGCCTAATCCTCAAAAATAGCGGAGAAATCACGTCCATATCATAAACCCGCTCGCTGTACCGAGCCTGAACAAGTATGGAATATGGTATCAATTTGTTAGTTAGGTGCACGGACGAACCCGATGCGAGATCGGGGAGCCGCTACGATAGTTGATAACGAGGACGAACCTGATGCGTAATCAGGGAACCTCTAGAATGGAGTCACTAACGGACGAACCTGGTGCGAAACCAGGGAGCCGTAAGAGGGTGAAACGTCGTGAACGAACCCGATGCGAAATCGGGGAGTCACTAGGATTGTTGATAACGACGCAGACGAACCCAATGCGAAATCGGGGAGCTGCTAGGAGGTTGGAGCAAACGCAGACGAACTCGATGCGTAATCGAGGAGCTGTTGGGAGGTTGGAGAAATTGGACGAACCTGATGCGAAATCAGGGAGCTGTAGGATGCGGACGAACCCGATGCGTAATCAGGGAGCCGCTAGGATGATATTAGATTGCGTGAACGAGCTCGATGCGTAATCGAGGAGCCACTGGGTTGTAAGAATTTGTATTTGGATTCAGGATATGTTAATTGACCTCGTAACTTTCAATTATTAAATATAATATAACCCGAGCGGTAAAGTTATATTATTGTGGGAACGTTTAACTAATAATAATCGCTTTATATAATGATGGGTTAAAGAAGCTAGGTAACTCTGATTTAATAATAAAACTAGATATATTCTTAAACCAACAAGTAAAATACAAGTGTTTTGTGTATGTTATGTCGCGTTCAAAGAATGATTATATTTATCTAGAATGATCTTGCGCGGTGTTGACGCACTGGCGATGCGGGGGTAAGTCGGTCGTAAAGTCTTAAAAATAAAGGCCGTAATAGAATTTATACCAGTTCACGGATTCTATATGGTTTAAAATTGATACGAAAGGGTATTGTACCCCGATCTCACGAGATACAACTGACTATCAAAACCGTGGTCGGCGTAACGAGATGTGATGTTAACTCTAAACGTAACTGTACGATTCTGATCCCCCGAGTAAGGAAACGAAGGGGTTTATATACCCAAAAATCTGTGGAGGAGGATTCAGATGCACGTTAGACATTACCATATTTGGTAATCTCCGAACTTCGTTAGTCACCGAGCAGCTGCATCTCGTGGGAACTGACTCTACATTCCAAAGGGTAGATAAGTAGCAGAGCGTTTTCCTAATGCACACAAGTGGTACGGAAAAATTGGGGAACGAAACGTTCGACATATGTAACAGCCCATTGGAGCCTTTTCAATTTATTTTGAGGCCTTAAAAGTGGTTTTTTAATTGCCATACATCCTCGTAATCCACTTTTTAGTAAACGTCTTTTCGCCGTTGTCACCCCAATAGGATTGTCTCTTCCTCTATTCACTTCTACTGTAATTTCTGGTGCTGTCATACACCTGTTGCGTTTGCTGAGGGTCTCAATATACCGGTCTTCAGCTACAAGTGTCGCAATTTATGAAATTAGCAACCGTGCACTGCACTACGGAACGCGCAACAGCGACTTTGGCTGCTATAAGGGTGGTCCACGCAATTGTTTCAAGTCATAACTCCGTTATTATTGCATTTACGAAAAAATGCCAAAGGAAAAAGATAAATGGTTCGAAGAGCACTACACCTGTAGGCCTTTTAATTTTTGTTAGAAGCAGCAGTGCATGTGCAATTAACAATTGCATCATTTCTTTAAATAGAAATGCATATTTTTCTTTACACAGATCGATTCTTCTGTTCATTCCACGTAACAAATGATTAAGGTACCATGGCAAAAAAATTATTAGATCTCGAGATATTTTCAAAAAATGTCTTTATTGAAGAAGATGCTCAAACGCTTCTCCATTACATTCTAAACATTTCTGATAACGTTTTTTTATTGTTTGCATAACTGCGTTTAAATTATCTACAGTTATTGCTGCACATTACAGTATGATTCTTTCTCTCAGATTCTCTACAGAATCTATGGGATTTGGATAAATTTTATCTTTCAAATAACCCCACAGAAAAAAGTCAAGGGGACTTAAATCAGGTGAACGGGCTGGCCAACGTATCGATGTATTTGTTGCGATAACGTTATTGCAAAACTTATTTTTTCGAAACCGCATTTTTTCAAATTCTTAGTTTTCGTACTCGAGTTATGATACATGAATTGCTACTGAATGATGAAATGCTTACTCGTACAAATCAGTTTCTGTTATGATAACAATCTCGAAAGGGTGTTTACCTTTACAACATAGTCACGAAGTGTTTGAGTATCTTCTTCGATAAAGACATTTTTTGAAAATATCTCGAGATCTAATAATTTTTTTGCCATGGTGCCCTAATCATTTTATACGTAGAATGAACAGAAGAATCGATCTGTGTGAAAAAAAAATATACATTTCTATTTAAAGAAATGATGCAATTGTTAATTGCACATGCACTGCTGCTTCTAACAAAAATTAAAAGGCCTACAGATGTAGTGCTCTTCGAACCATTTATCTTTTTCCTTTGGCATTTTTTCGTAAATCCAATAATAACGGAGTTATGACTTGAAACAATTGCGTGGACCACCCTGTATATAAAAGCAATGCTAAACTGAAACTGAGGCGAAGTAAACGCATCCATCGCTTTGGCTTTGTCTTTATCTCTAACAAATGAATAGAAGTTTACACAATGTATACAAATAGTTAAAACATGACCCAGAATAGATGATTCAATTACCCTAAAATGCCAAACATAAACAGATGCGACTCCAAGTCACTTGAAGCCTCCATATTCAAGTGCCTTCACGAGACCAATTTTCGTCCACTTTTAGTTATTACCATTTTATTTATACTACTTTACATTAAATATCGCCTTTTCGAATATTATTGATTCTATTCTTCATGATCGAAGTTACATTAGACGGTTTTACCTATAGATTATTTGTGTGGCCATTCGATAGTCCATTGGAGTTACAACCACTCGAAACTGCCTTCGCCGACCAAGTTTATGACACTTTGTATGTGCTTGACGAAACTCTACAATTTTTGGTGCCTATGCTGGCCGTGACTAAAACTTTACAAAAACGCGGTCCTGTGTCATAAACCTGGTCGACTCACCGAAACCCAAACAACGAGTCAGCGCCGAAGCAACACACGAGGCCGCCAAGAGTGAGAAAGAGGTATTTCCAGTGGAATGTGGTATCAGTTTGTTAGTAAAATGCACGGACGAACTCGATTTGAAATCGAGGAGCTGCTGGAAGGTTACTGAATTCAAAGATGAACCTGGTGCGAAACCAGGGAACCGTAAGAGAGTGAAACGTTGTGAACAAACCCAATGAAAAATCTGGGAGTCACTAGGATAAGACGGTTCAGACGAACTCGATGCGAAGTCGAAAAGCTGCGAGGAGGTTTTAACAAGCGCAGACAAATTCGATGCGACATCAAAGAACCGCTAAATGGTAATAAATTATGTGGACGAATCCGATACGAAATCAAGGAGCCACTAAGTCGCAAGAATTCGTATTTGGGTGTTCACAAAGTAGCAGATGAATCTAATGCGAAATCAGGAAGCCGCAGGATATGTTAATTGACCTCGTAACATTAAATTAAAAACGTAATATTACTCGAGCGGTGAAGTTATATTACTGTGGGATCGTTCAACTATAATCGCGTAATATAATAATGAGCTTAATAATTGATCAACTCTGTCTAATAATGAGCACTATGTATACAGGGTGTCTCACCCGATTTTGACATCTTCATTTTCTCGCTATTGTTACTCGTAACAAAAAATGTTTCAGCGGAGGCTTGAATGGTATCGAGTGGAGCATATTCTGATGTTATTAGTTTTTTCGTGAGTGGACGCGTAAAGGTCATATAAAGGTCAACTTTGTTTTTTTAAATGGAACGAGGTATTTTTTAATACATCAATCGATTCAGCGGGGCAATCGTTATAAAAAAGTACTAACTATGTAACGTCGAAAAATTAGTAGTTCAGGAGATATTTCAATTTAAATAATTTTAAAACACCATTACTGTTGTACTATAATAGCGAGAAAATGAAGATGTCAAAATCGGGTGAGACACCCTGTATATTCTTAAAGAAACAAGTTTAATATAAATGTTTAATATAAAAGGTGCCGCGGATAAAGAAAATTGGAATATGATAGATTTACCTAAATAATTGTACGTGTTACCTAAATAGTGTTTGACGCACTGGCGATGCGATGGTATTTTAAGAGCGGTTATCAAAAATACCGTAATAAAGTTTGTACCGAACTCGGGGTTTCTATAAGGTTAACTACGATACAAAAGGGAACTTTAATCCGATCTCACGAGATGTAACCGACTCTCAAAAACTTAAACAGCGAAAGGAGTGACGTGATGTTACACTATACGTAACTGTACAATTTTAATCCCCCGAGTAGCAAGATCGTTGGGTTTATACAGGGTGTTCGGCCACCTCTGGGTAAAATTTTAATGGAAGATTCTAGAGACCAAAATAAGACGCAAATCAAGAATACAAATTTGTTGCTGGAGGCTTCGTTAAGAAGTTATTAACGTTTGAAGTTTCGCCCGTATTGAATTTTTTTATCGAAACATGCGCAGTATTTCGTGAGTATGTTTATTCACCAAAAACGATTGTAATTAACCCCTGCAACCGAAAGTAATTTTTCCAGAACGATTTGAAATTTTTTAATTTTGTCGAAAAATTTCCCACCTTCTGGAATTTTTTTCTAGACAATGGGTAGGATTTCGAAGGGGCGCCTAAAATTTAGGCATCTAACCCCCCCGGGTCAATTTTTCTTAAAAATTCGTTTTTGATTTTTAGTAATTTTGTTTGACATCCTATAGAAAAGTTGTCCAATACTTTGTTGTAGGCCCCCATGAGCTCTACTTCAGAAAAGAATTTCATTGAAATATATTCAGTATTGTAGGATTTACAGTCGTTTGAAAATTGGACCACTTTTATGGGGTTTTTCTCACTTTACGGGGCCAAGGAATAACTTGTTCAATATTGTTAGAATTTCTAAATATTCTACACTAAAATACGCGTCGCTTGCCTTTTTAAACATTAAAATTGTGCAATCCGTTCAGAAGTTATGATGTTTTAAATATTCGATGAAATTTCAGGGAAGCATTTCTGACCTGAAATTATATTTTCGGTAAGGAATTTATTTCTCGAAAATCCGTAGGAATTCGGGGGTATGTGTAATGACCAAAAATGATTGTAATCGATCCTTGTAACCGAAAATAATTTTTTTAGATCGATTTGAAAAGTTCTCTTTTCGCCGAAAAATTTCAGCACCTACCCGAGCTTTTTCTCGAAAGTGGGTAGGATTTCGTGGGTATGTGTATTCGCCAAAAACGATTGTAATTGATCTCCGCAATCAAAAATAATTTTTTCAGAATGATTTGAAATTTTTTAATTTAATTTTTTAATAACTTTTTAACGAAGCCGCAGTCAAAAAATTGATATTCTTGATTTTCGTCTTATTTTGATCTCTAGAACCTCCCATTAAAATTTTTTCCAGAGGTGGCCAAACACCCTATATGTATACCCCAAAAATCTGTAGGGGTGAATTCGAGAGTACGTTGATATGAAAAATATCGTAATCTTCGAAGCGCGTTCGTTACCAGGCAGCTGCATCCCGTGAAACCTAATTTTATACATTCCAAAGGGTACATAAGAGTAGGGCGTTATTCTAATGCACGTAAGTTTAGAAAAAAGGAAAATAGGGGAACGAAACATTCGGCGTACGTAACAGTTGAACCAATGAGTCCAAAGTTTCGACTAAATCAAAACTAGTATTGTATTTAAAAACTGTTTGCAAAACTTTAGTTTATCATTGTTAAATATTTTCTATTTTCATTGATTCTTGACGAATAACGTTTTTTTTCTCTATTTTTCTTGTAATTCGCTAAATTAAAGACATTACATACGATTCGCTCTCTAGCGGACATTATTTTACATTCTAATAAAAATCTACCTCAAGGAACTGAAAGCATCAATGAATAATTAATATACAAACTTAACATAAAAAGAAAATTCGTATTCACGTTTTATACAGGATGCCCTAGTATCGATGGTACAACCACAAAGGGGGTGATTCTACTTGAAAAAACAAATCAAAAATAAAGAAAACATTTTTTTATTCGAGGCTTCGTTTCCGATAAAATCAATTATGAAAATCCGTTGTACATGCATGCAATAATACAATTTGAATTTCAACGTAAGTAAAAATAATGATTAATCGACAGGTATGTCAAGCAAATCACATTCAATCGCACGCATATCTGACAAATATTCAAATTCAATTATCTCGAAAACGAAGCCCCATATGAACAAATGTTATTCTTTATTTTCGATTTTCCTTTTCATGTAACATTCTCCCACACTATTACAATCATAATTTCTTAATGAAATCATTCATTTACAGAGCAAAAGAAGTATTACGATTAGTAAATTATAAAGAACCTTCTATCACTCCCATTGAAAGAGCAGAAGCTAAAGAATTGAGGAAAATGGAGATGAAGATAGAGGAAATAAAAATTCGACTATTAGAACTGAGAAAAAAATTAGAACGACAGACAGAGCATATAGAGAACGATGAACACAGCGAAAAGAGAAAAGAAATTGTTTTTAAACGCGATCAAGAGAAAACTATTAAAAATACCCTTGGACATATGTATGTAATCTTGTTGCTTTTTTATAAGCGTATAATGAAACTTTCATACAGCTCGTACCATCTCTTTTTTCACAGGACAAAAGATATACAAACATTAATTGCCGAAGTTAAGAAACTTGAAGAGGAAGTAAGTATTTAGCTCAAACAGTTAACGAAATATTACTAATGTTATTTATAAACGATTGTAAATTTTTAATACTTTGCCGCAAAATATAGGATTTACGTACAACAAAAAATTAATTTCTTTTTTTACAAAATAATTTATTATTCTAGCTATACAAACATACTATATTTAGCCACATTGCATGCTTAAAGAATATTTTATACAACAGCTTCTCGTCACAAATATATCTTTTAAACGTGGGTACAGAAGTTGCACAAAGCATACATAACATACCATTTTCATACCATTTTCCAAAATAGGAAATGGATTGTAATAAATTATAAATTGTTATAAAGAACTTTACAAAATAATGTATGTTAAAGATTTTATATAATTTACTATTTATTAGTAATATCTTCACCTTGAATAGTTGTGATTACACACACGCGGCCGACATAAAACGTAACAGTGTGTCACAGTCGCACATATAACACGAAACACATTTCATGTTCCAATTGATAGAATAATGTTACCATGCAAGGTGTCATTCTATCAAGCCATTGTGCGCCTTGATGTATTGAAGAAAAACAGTGACAAGTTTTGCGCCGGCCATTGTACAATAGGATCGAATTCAAACTTTTACAGACGATTCATCTGCGATGTTTGTGAAATAGAAAAAAAACGAGTTGAAAGTTTGCCCATAAAATATTTTTGCTTTACATTCACACAATTGTTTCATTGCGACATATCGCTCAAGGCACAAAAATATAATGAGAAACGTCGTTGGAATCCTCCATAACTTTTGACTGCAACAATTTAATTTCAAGCCTTAGCTTTTCTTTTTCCATTTCTTGCTTTCGTATCTCATTCGAATAACAGTTTATTTGTAATTTTAACTTGTCTTTCTTAAGTTTTAGCATTTCAGTCTCATGATACAGCTTTCCCTTCTCCGCACGAAGCACTGCCAACTGTTCCTGAAGTAACTGATGACTAGCTTCATCGGACAATATCACTTCGGACGTATCGATATCCGCTTTCACAGTTGTTGTTGACTTTGAACCGTTCGCTTCACTTTCAGGCCCGCTGTCAGGTTCTGTATCTGCATTCGCAGCTTCTTTCATGATCCAAATTCTCGAGTCTGTAGTTTCGTGGAAAGCGTTCGGTGACTTCACAGATTGTTGCAATTGTGACATAAGAGGCCTCTTTTGTTGTTTAGACGAGATGGATGATCCTTTTATTTTTTCTATATCAGTAGTAGGCGCAATTGTTTCGATATCTAAAACTAATGCGAAATTACGTTACAAATAATATAGTTAGCGTGTTTGTTTTTTTGCACGTATAGACCACATTGAAATTACCTCTATTACTAGGAGATTGACTCTCATCAACTGTATGCGACAAATGATTATTACAATAAGTATTGAATTCTCTTTCATCTACAAAAACAGAACCATCAGCGTTCACGATAGATTCAACAATTACAGAGGGATCTCCGTCTTGCATTACTAACTCTCCCACAATTTCACCGTTCGCTGCTATTATATTCCCATCGTTATTGGTTCTCAACAATTCGCCATCTGTTGTGTCAATTTCATCTACTACCTCTTCTTGCGTCAATTGACCGCTATAAGAATCATCGCCGTCGTTTCCTTCGCTTACTTCTAGTTCAGTTGGCAATCTCTAATAAAAAATAATTTTTTTAATTAAATACATAATGTTATGTTGTCCAGTGTGAAATTATATATCTTACATCTTGACCCCAAGGTGATTCTTGTTCTTTTTTCATCCTTTTTATCGTCCGTGCAATTTCATCTTCAGACTCTGAATATGTTTTCCTATCATTATCTCTGCCTTGCATCTTCTCGATATCATGGATCTTTTTAAATAATTGATATGCTCTTTCTGGTGTTATATTCCTCTTTTGTTTATTAGCTGCCGCTATATTAAATAAATCTTTGGACCTAAGTATTTTATTTGTTCGCAATCGTACATATTCTTTCAATCTCTTGCGGTCAATGTGTAACTGCATGAGATCTTGTACTTCCTGTTTAATTTCACCACATAATTTTCTTTCTTGCGGAAGATTCTTAAATAATTCCTAATAAGATAATAAAGATAAAGCCAAATTGAATATATCGCAATAACCTAGCATTACTTAATCTTTCCTATTTACCTCAGAGATTTCATGATTATGTTCATTATTGACACTAGTTACCTCTAACTTTGTACCATCTTTTGATGCTCTTAACATAATATGAGCAGGACAATTTGTCCTTATGGATCTAAATAGAAATGTAATATGTATAAAATATGTTCAAAGATACATTTGATTATATGTATTCATTTATTTCAAAATAATTACTTTAACAATCTAATTTTAACAATATATGATCTTATAAACTAACTGAGACTGTCTTCTGCCAGCTCCACGCGGTAGAAACTTTTGACCACCATAGATACAAGCATATTTTACAGAGTAATACTTTAAACGCTCACTAATTGGACGAGCAGTTTTCATATGAGCTCCACTAACTGTTCTGCTGTCTCTTCTCCAATAGTGAACTAAACTACGCTTTGAAAATTTCTCCAGTTTACGTTCCAATTCTTCGTAACTGTCAAACATTTCCCCCAAATGGAAGGATACATCTTCATCTTCCACCGTATTTACATCCATTATAAAAACAACAGCTAACAATCTATTTCATAATGAAGTATATATTATTTATTAATTGATAAATGCATAGAAGGTCATTAAACAATTGTAATATTTGTAAAATAATTTTCGTGTCAGTTTGTATGACATTAACATTGTAAATAAATTAATAGAAACAAAATAAATTAATAAAATGTATTGTTTACAATTCATAATATTGTGTGTTTACGTATTTGAAGATGAAAAGGAGGTTAGACTATATAGAGACAAATTGAATAATATTGTTGTATTTCTTCTTTGTACCATCATTTCTCTATTTGATTCCTATTAGCTGAATCCCTCGACAAGGATTTATTTAAAATAATAGCATTTGTTTTTCTCGGTCTAAGTTTTGTGGTTATATTTTAATTTGATTGGCGTGGTAGAAGCCAAGATGAGAAAACCGTGAACACAGCCAAATAGAATTATTCAAGAACCGGATAAAGTCAGGCGGGACCGCAGGATTTTCTGTTCCCTATTAATTCCCAGTCTTTATAGAATAACTTACGTCTCGTCATATCTTTCGTTGTATTTCTTCCTTTCATCAAAAATTTATCTTGTTCGATCGTTATGAAAACGTACACCGTGATTTTGCGCCATTTCTAAAACAGGACAAGCAACTGAACTACAGCGCAACTGTTGTAATTTCACTTGATTTCAACGTCTTTCTATTTTATGTAATTTAATCGATTTCAATTAAAACAAAAACAATTCCTAATTTCTTGATGTTAAATCGACACATTTTCTTTTCGTAGAACATTCGTCGCGTATGTATAAATACAAAACGTAAGAAAACCAGGCATTTATTTTTAGAACAAAATATAGATGAAAACCATAAATCAATATTGTAACTAAAATAGTATTTATTAATATTAAATGATTAGTTTTTTACAACAATTTTTGCACACCATTGATGAAAATTCTTCTGAGTTTAAAAGAATCATTGGGCATTACAAAAATTTGTTTACATAGTACAGTATTCCCGCCTTAAATATACGTTACTTGAGGCCAAAATCACATTTAATGCAAGGGGACAATATTCGTTGTGTTTACCACTCGTTTCAAACGTAGAGATACAAAGGAATAGCAACCGTAGGATGAAGGACTAAATCGAGCTCGGTCTCCAGATAGCGTAAAACAATTCAATGTTGAATATCCGCGTGATGCAATAGAGAGGAAAAGACAAAATTTTTTCATTTCTTGTTCTTTTTGTATAAAAATTTTTTTTTATTAAAATAAGACCAAACAAGACATAATTTAGATAATATTTGAATGTACATTACGTATACATTCCTCAAAACCGCAGAGTCACATCTAACATAAGGGGAACATGTTCTTCGTCGTGTTTTATCACTAGTTTCAAATGTAAAAAGAGATAGAGAGGAATATCAAACGATGGACAAAGAGGGACTAAGAGTCCAGGTAGTTAGCAATATTCATGTGAGACAATGACGTTCTTATTTAAATTTACATTTATCGTTAGCCAGAAACGAATTTCACAGTCCGAAAATCTAATGACATGACGTGCACACAAAACGAGTTCAGAGTGTGTATTCTGCCGCTTCTTCCTTCGCATTTGAACGATCATGCGAAAAACAGAAATACCGCACCCTTGCTGCGGAAATGACATAACTCTAAAGAGAACATTTGCAAATCGCGACCATAAAGTAATCTACACACGTCGTAGCCGTGATTTGCTTCTGTAGCAAAGGTATGGTATGTTTGTTTTTCTAAAACGTTCCAAGGAAAAAAGAGAATGTCACCTAAGAATATTCGAGATGAATGCAGCTGTTTTTTTATTAATCCCTGACCTAATTTTACTTAAATCTGTACTTTAACTCGTTGTCAGACTGTACATCGAAAAATGTATTTTTTGCTTTATTTTGTAATAAACTCGATTTTTTAATCAAATAAATTAATGAACCGTGGCATCACCTTCCGTACTATGCTCTCGCAAGCGCTCGACTACCCAATATCCCGTCATCTAAGGTAGGGCCTGCTTTTCTAAGGATGATATTCAAGAAATTGCATCATTATTAAATATAAATAAGGTGAATGTTGTTGTTATTATTATTATCAATCAGAGCACTCAGGGAGGAGGGCAATATCTTAAATATTCTGACATCAATTTTGCTGCATGTGCATCCATAGCAGCTACCAGAAACTTGAAAGATGAATCACTAAAGAAAGCAATACATAGTTACTAAGTGCATTAAACGATATTATTTGAATAAAGGACAAATGGCAGGTATAGATAAAACGAAGATAATTAGTAGGCATGCTACTGGAGGTATACCATCTAACTTTTCATATGAGACTTTAGTCTAAAATTTTGATCAGAAGCAGAGATATTACTCCATATTAAAACTACAGTAGGCATCAACATAAAGTTCCATGAAATTAACTGTGATAGTACCAGGAACTTCAAAATGAAATGATGCAGATAGTGTTATAGTACATCAACATCGTCTAGTGAGTATTTAACTCCAGAATAATATCTAATTTAGAAATAGCACCTGTTACTCCAAGAAGCAGAAAAGGAAAGGGAGGGGAGGATAGCGTTTCGTCGTGGGCCTGCTAGTGGATTCATCAGTAAGACTTTCTAGTAGGCCCTGCCTTAGACGACGGGATATTGGGTAGTCAGTTGAGGAGTGACATATAACAATGAAGAGGTCGATCGAGCACTTGCAAGAGCGCAATCCCTCTGGTGGTAAGTACGGGAGGTGACGCCACAAAACTAAATGAATACCTAAATATTGTACTACGTCACACAACAAACATAGCAGGTGTAATATTATTTTAAATTTTGTTAAGAACCTGTTTTTGTCTAATATTAGCATCAATTATGAAGTATAATAACTTATGAATTTATTACATAAATAAATATTATCTAAATTATGAGGTGTTTGGTCTCATTTTAATCAGAAAGATGTTTCAAAAATTCTATGCAAAAGGAATGAAAAATAAAAAAGTTTTGTCTTTCCCTTAGCATTGTATCACACATGTAGACTACTTGACGACCGAACATCGTGCTGCTGCAAGGATAAAATTTTCACATTTAACATAAGGTCCTTCTTCACATTAAAGACGGAAAAAATATAACTACAAAATGTAGAATATAATTATTAATGCAACCAATCTGTATCATCTTCGATATCGATAAGAGGAATGGGTGGTGGTTCATCTTGTAGCAGTACCATCGATATCTGCGAGTAAAAGGCTTTACAAATAAAATATTTAAAGCATAACATACATGAAATTAAACATTGAGAATGAATATTACGTTAGCATTTCCTGAAACTCCAGTTAGCTTAGACGATTGGTTCGTAGAAGTGCTTATATCAGCATTTTTTAATTCTACATTGGTAATTTCTGAATCATCATTTTCCATAACTTTAGTGGACATTAATTCTGTTTGTTCCCTGTTACTTCTTTCACTAGTATTATGTAGAATTTGTAATGTGACATTCTAAAATTGTATTCATGGTAAACATTATAAAATATAAATCTAATGTTATAAACTGTTTAAATCATGAGGACTTACCTTTATTGTATTTGCTATCGTTGATTTAATGTAATTTGTAGGATAGGATTCATCCACGAATTTATCTAACAGTATATGATAAATTCGGTTCATTATATGTTTGATTTCTCTATTTTTACTGTCATTCTAAACAGAATAATTACCAATAATAAAATATTTAGAAAATCCGATAATATACAGAACAATCCACATAAAGTATTACGAACTATACCTTTGGGCATTATACTTTTCGACACGAACTTTGTTTTATAATATCCACTAAAAAAATAACGTCCTTTTAATATATTTAAAAATTATTTAAATCGATGAGAAAATAGTTCATTGATAATTCATTATTATTAATTCCTTATCCTTAATAGTTTCCGAAAAAAAAACATCAATTTATGTGGATCATTCTGAATATATGATAGATCTAGAAACTGACACAAGCAGCAATTTCTTTTAAGCAAAAATACAAACAATAGGTACAAGAAAAAAAGGCGAGTTTTACTTCTTTTACCTCCATAGTACCTTCAGAAGCTAGACTATTGCATTTAGAGTGTAGCATTATATTTTGTTCCTCGTAATTGCTATTAAGTTTCTTAGCTACTTCTAAATTTTTTTTGGTTTTTACAAGTACACTATTTGTATCCTTCAACGATATCTCTAATTCATGAACATTTTTATTTAAGTTTTCATTAATTTGTATTAGAGATTCCTTGTGATCTTCAAGATTTTGTATACACTCTGTATAAACAAGCAACGCTTCTATAAATTATTATGTCAATTATATTGTTACAGGTAATTAAAAGATAACGTATGAAAGCTATGATTACTTTTTGTCTTTTCCAATTCCTTTTCCAATATGGCTACTCTACTTTGCATCTCATTCAGCTCACTAAAATTATCAGTAACTGTAACATCAGTATTTTTCTGTAGTTCGTTATCCTTTTCTCCAGTATGAGATGCATTCATGGTTAATAACATTTTCAATGCAGCATCCAAAACTGTTTTATCTTTTACAGGAGATGTAGCATTTTGAAGTTCAAGAACATGAAACTGTACATGATAAATGATGGCATCTTTGTAAATAATGTAGGATTTCTTCAGTATGTAACTACCTTATCAAGCAATTTCTGCACATTGTCGGCTATCTTAGAGATTCCCATTCTAAGTTCGGAATTTGTCATTCTACTTTCTGATAACAACATGTTTAATCCTGGATCTATCACCGACGATATTGTTGGAGTTGTGCTTTGTGGTTGTAATGAATACACCTGACCGTCCATAGTAACAAAATTTGACTACGATAAATACACAGGTTAATACACTAATAATACCTTTCACGCAAGAACATAATTTACGATACAATTAAATTTCCATACCTGTATTTGCGTAGGAGACCATTGAGAAGTAAACGTAGACGTAGAAACAAAAGGTTTACTAGTATTTATTACAGTCGCGTCGCCTTTCGGTTGTAATGCTCTGTGTGCATTTCTTGTTGTTTCTTCTATAGATTCTTGCAAAAGATATCTCTTTTGAGATCCTTTTTCTAACGATTCCACCTAAGTCATATAGTACGAATACATTACATTCTTAAAGTTCAATAGATTTCGTAGAATTTCTTGATCAGGGCTTCTGAACTCGTGATCAGTGGGCCATATGCTACTCTTTCCCTTATCACCTAACTACTCCCACCATACTAACTTGACTCTCACTTATGTATTTGTAAGATCCCAGCATAGTTACCAAAGGGAACCAGCAAACTAATAATGGTGCGTGTAATATAACAATGATGAGCAGTATATGCCCCAACCCTAACCCAGCCTTATTCTTGGTAATTAAGGTAAATGTTTATTCACCTTTTTGTTACGTGGTGATTTGTGTGGTATGTCATCCTGTAAACATATAAAAATCTATTATTCATTGCGTAAAGCATTATGAATATTTAAAGAAAGAAATGTCTTAAATACTTCTGTATCTTCAGAGTCGGTAGTGGTGGTAGTAGGAGTTTTTGGTAACATAGACTGACCCATTTTTGCCATTCGTGATATGATTGAAGCTTTGTCGCTTGTAATTTTATCTGAGTAAGGAATTTCTGCTTGTGGTTGTATATCTATAATTTCTATTTCCAATAAAATATCCCTCTCTTTTGGAAATCCGGGACCCAAACTAATCTAAAAAATATTATATTTAAAATTTCTGTATGAATTTGACTTATTTAACTTTGTTAAAATTTTATAAAATTATCGAAGTAAAACCTGCTTATTAGGAGGCAAAAATAAAATTCGTTTCAACCCCTTGCTGCTTCCTGAAAGTGACTTTTCCCAATTATCATCCGTAGATATGTGTACTGTCATTGTTTGTAATGCTGTAAAATTACTTTTGAAAGGTTGTACTATTTCTGAAGCTATTAAATATTTGACAGATACATTGTCTCCTTTTTTTGCTATTACATCTGTGTTGACAGATGATAAATCTTGATAAAGCACATCATCTATTCTTTCATTTTTTGAAAAATATCGAGCTAATCCAATTTCTTTGGCAAATTCTGTACAAGTATCACTACTTTCAAATAAAATTGACCAATTTACATTATTGTTATCATAGTAACTGGAATAATCATTTGGCTGTATCGTATACAAAAAATCATGTGTCACTGTAACAATGGACACATGTTCTTGCTTTGTTTTATATAAAATAATTTGATATAGTTTTGTCGCTCTATTTCCTATAAGGGCCATACCAAGTGTTCCAACTAATACGTAAACTCCATTTTGTCTAAAATATAATGTTACTTATAATGTATTAAAGAAAAAGGCTAAAAAAACAGATAATTAAGATATTATAGCTTACAGTTTAAATGCATGCACTGCTTTAGCTATTATGACTTCAGTTTTGTTTGTAAGCATTTCTGCTACATGTCGATGACTGTTTGCCTTTTTCGAAACCTGGTGCTTTGGTAAGGAGTGACTGTCTGATGATTTAACTTGTGTCCCAAAAATAGCAGCCAAATTGGATCTAAAAAGCAGTAGTATATTGATTTTAAAAGAAGCATTTTGCATTCGATGGTTACTTTGATTAAAATAAGATTTTAAAAATAGAAAGAAGAACGCAAAACAATAATTAAAAATGAAAAAATTAACAGCATAACTTTTATGTTACAATACTTTAGTTACATTCGCTATTTAAAAATTATCACTGTTTTAAACAAACAAACAAAATTGTAGAACATTCTACTATGCAGTTACGATTATTAATATACCGTGTCGGTGAAATAAAAATAAAAATAAAAGGAACGTACCCTCTCGATGGCAAAAAATCCACTTCTTCGTCAGCTCGAAAAATCTTATCGAGATTTGGCAACTGGTTTCCCGAATTCATAATTATGAATTGACTTATTTTAAACAAAAGTGACGTTTAATAACGTAACGAGCAAATGACACATTAGTTAAGCCACTTATAAGAATTAAGCGACATTCTACGCTTGCAGCTATCAAAAACGCAATAATAATGAAATATGCGATTACCTACTAATAGGCGATACAGTATTTTTTAATATTTTTTAAAAGAGTAACTATACTATTTCGCTACAACGTGATACATATGTCATGTACTGTGCATCTACAATCAACAACCTACAACCCAGAGTGGCCAGTGTGATCAGATTTGACATAATTGAGTGCATTGACGACGACACTAGTAACGACGAACTTCCTTAGCGTCTAACAGAGTGTTGGGGAAAGCAGCATATACTACCGCGCGGGCCACATGCACGTGAGCTCGGCATTTCACTTAACTTTGACGAATCAAGAAAGAAGCCGAATATGAGCCTTTCATTTTTGCTCTTACAACAGTTGAAATTCGACCTTGCGATATTCGACATACAATTTCGAGTCTCGACTGCCCCAACATTTTTACTTTCCGAACTATGTAGGTATAAGGAAAGTACCATAATGGAAAAAAATGTCTCAAATTTTTTTTACCAAAAATATACGTTTTAAAACCCCCTGATCATATTATGACTATTAAAAAAAAAGAAATTTTTGTTATGCCTATGTACGTATGCTATTAATATGATTGTGTCTAAACGACTGAATGAATTTCAATGAAACTTTACATTTAAATTTTATGTTCTTGTTTCAAGGTCTGATTAGATTTTGAGCGTAATCAGCTCACGGATAATGATGATCTTGTAGTTTTTTAATTGTATATCGTTTTCCCGAAATTGTACGAAGTGCCGAGCTCACGTACACGTGTCTCGTGCGGTAGTATATGCCTGCTATACCCACCACTCCGTTAGACGCTAAGGAAATTCGTCGTCACTATTGTCGATTTCGATGCACTCAATTATACATTTATACCCGATCTGGCCACAGTGCGAAGTTCGTCGTTTCTAGTATCGACGTCGGTGCACTCAATTATGCCAAATCTGGACACACTGTGGTAAAGTTAAATTTTTAAATGTATTTGTTTTATTAATGTCAAATTAAAATATTATTAGTATTTAGAGAGTTTAATGTTTTTCATAGCATATTTAAGTGGAAATTTTAATATTATATACTAACCTTAAGTATCGATAATGCATAATTTTATTTTCATCTTTCAATTTTTACAATATCGATAAAATATTTTAAGACGAAAAATCTGTCGCAATATTTTATATTGCTAATTTTATATTAGGATTGGTAGTAGTATTTATTCAGTTGTTATCTGTGTGTTCGTATTATGTATTTCGAATTTTTGTTCAGGTTTTTATACGATGTCACAGTGCAATTGCGGAAAGATCCACGATGAAGGAAATTTGGGTATGGAGTATAGTTTGTATAAGAAAATTGATATACAAAATGTGGAATGCCTAAACGAATGTCAAGAAGGTAGCGGTGCTACTGTATTCAAGCCATGGGAAGATAGATTAGATACAAGCAGAGTAGGTATTATATTTATTTTCTTTAGTTTCTCTTTGTACCCTTTATGCTAAACCAAGAATGTGCAGTTGTGAAATTCAAAATTCCAGCATCATTAAGCTGAACAATAATTCACACTCATGAAATAAGTTTAAAGATTTGAAAGTGGTAAATTTTTCATGAATGTATGAACATGCTATTAAGGGAACAGGACTCTGATGTGTTCAAAAAGAAGACATATTACAAATTACTGCAGAAACGAAAATAAACATTTGGTTGATATAAATTTTTGTCCTTTAATTTACCATAGTATGAGCTCTAGAGAACAACCATTTGCTCTTGTCATTGCTTCCAGCGAATCTTTTTCTATACCACCAATTGGGATGAGCTGAAGCAAAAATTTGAAAATTGCTTAAAACTGTAATATATTCTCTAGGAATTAATGTTCGAAAAATTTAATTTTAGTTAAAATTGTCAAAATTGCAGCAATATGCATTTGAGAAGTCGAATTTGAATGAAAAATTTGTGTTTATTGTTTATATTCTTTGAAATAATTAAAATTTTTAAAAAATGGCTACGTCGTTCCCTAATAAATATTATGGTAAAGATATTTACAAAATTTCAAAGTAATTTGTTAGTTAGATCTCAAGATATCTTGCACACTATTTCTGAAAACCTTGATGTCAAAAATGCAAACCATGATTATTTAAAAAAAAATTAATGCTGTTTTCTACATCTCATACTATGATAAATTAAAGCACAAAAACTTATATCAATGAAATTTTTATTTTCATTTCCGCAGTTATTTATATGTCTTACTTTTGAACATGTCAAACAGTCCTGCCCCCTTAATATTAATAAATGTTTAAAATTAAATAGAAAATATTTAGTAAAATGATTTATAACTTATAAAGTACTGAATTTATACCTATACTTTTACTTTCCTTTGCTAAACTGTATTTCTTTATAAGTTTTTTTATCTATAAAAAATAAAAAGTAATGTTTTATCTAAATATTAGGGACAATGAATACAAATTATTCATAAATGTCCAAATTTATGTAAGATTCTATTGAAAAAATTGACTAAGTGATCTCTTATATGTATGTATAATTATAATATCAGTATATATGGATGGATCAGAAACCAATCAAAGTAAGTTCCCTATTTTTTGAAAATGAGTTACATAGTGTAAAACCATCTTTATCATAGGATCTTTCGATTGATTAAGTCAATATAGTCTACTTCTTCATAAATAAACAATAGCAACACTTATATTGACCATGGGATGACTAAGCAAAATTGAAAATTCAGGGAGCAGTTAATGTAAGTCAGCTAAAAGATGTTTGTTTTATTGTTTACTAGGTTAAGCTATATTATTTACTAGTTTATGCTTTATTGTTTACATCGTCTAACCCAGACCATGAGTAACAGTGAATCCAAGTACTTACCAGATAATCATGAAAATTTATCTCATTGCCATGATGGTAAGAAAAACCTAAACTTAAAAATTTGTGGTATTTTTATACACATATTTTACGTGTACTTACAATATAAATATTGAAACACATTGTTAACATGTATTTAGAATATAAATATTAAATTTGTGACAATGAAGCTATATATTTTTAAGATATGCCGGAATCCTGTATAAATAGTGAGGTCGAGTTAGAAGATAACAAAGACGAAAATGAGAACACTAATAATGCAGAAGGTCAAGCAAATGGAAGAAAGCGATGAAGGAATAAAAAGACATAGAAAAGAGTAGTAAATGTTGCTAAAAGATATGCTGGCGAAGCTTATACAAATCAAAGTTGAAACAACGATCCTGCAAAAAAATTGAAAAACTCAGATTGTAATTGTGTTCTACAATGTTTTACGACAGTTTGTCCTCATGAAAGATAATTTAGTTTTTAGTCTTTTTATAAATTAGGTGATAATGGCAAACAAAATATTTATGTTCGTGGACTTATTCAGAACAACATATTCAAGCAAAATTTAGCTACAATTAATGAAAAAACACGAGCATCAACCTCAGAATCGAATCAAATGAACGTTGATGCAGGTAGTGAAAATGATAATTCGGATGAATACATAGATTGACTTATTTAAATTCACATTCATTATTAGATTTTTCAGTGGACACCACTGAATCACATAAGTTACATTTCTTTCATTTAATTTGCTTTCTCTAAAAAAACATTAGTATTTTTCTTTTGTTTCTCTTTCAGTTAAGTGGAAGTACATTTGTATGTCATCTTAAAATAAAAATTGTGCTTTTCATTATTAATGACATTGCTATTTTTCTGTAACTAGTTTGCAAAATCCTTATGTATCTTAATTTTAAGGTTAATGGACTTACACTGATTGGCTTCTAAACTCTCCATATAATTATGATCTCAGTATATAGTTACATACTTACATTATAGCTAGTCTATTTTTTTTCCAGTATGTTGAAAGTGACATGGATAACGATCTCCTATTTAATATTCCGTACGTTTCTATATTTTGGCATACACTAATTTACATTTTTAAAAAGATAAATAATTTTTGTTTTTCTTTAGTTTTACAGGAAACGTAAAATTAAAAGGCCTTATCGTTATTGGCAGTGAAAATGATTTTCAACCAAATAAAGTAAAATTGTAAGTATTTCTTCATCTTTACTTTTGGAATAGTTCAATCCAGTTCTACAAAAGCACAAAATATCATTTGCTTATTAATAATAAATAAAATAATTTTTTTTACGTAGATATAAAAATCGACCTTTTATGACATTGGATGATGTAGCCACAGAACCCGAACAAGAATTTGAATTATGTATTGATATGCATGGAATGCATGAATATTCTCTTAAGTATATATATTCTATTGTATCGTTAATAGAATTGAGAAAAATAATGAAGGTATAAAAGTTTATTGTAATTCTTGTTTAATATTACAGGATAGTAAAATTTTCATCTGTATATCACTTAAGTTTATATTTTACTGGCAAAGAAGGAGTAGATAAAATCAAAATTTATTATATTGGATTAAAAGGGGAATGGTCTCCTGGTCATCAACACGGTGTTACTATTTGCACGTACGAATTACGTCCACAGATACATGAACATGCAAAGGATCATGATAATGTCGATAGAGCAATTACTTGATTTTATAGTAGGAACCGAACAAAAAATTCGTTCTCTGCTTTGAAGCAAAGAATTCCGAAAACCAATAAATATTTGTATTGAAATAAACGTCTTTGCTTATTTACAATTTTAAATAATACATATTCTTTATAAAAATTTAAAAAACACTTTAACTAATTAGTTATCGTGGTCCCCATTTGGGAATCACATTCTCATACCCATTACTTTTTCTGTGTTATCATTCGCCACATTTTTGGGGTTTATAATATACTTTTAAACATAATATACATATAGCAATCGAGGGGTCGGTCGAGCGCTTGTGAGAGCGCGATCCCTCTGGTGGCGAGCATGGGAGGCGACATCACATTATCCCCCTGCCAGTGCTAACGATACCGGATTAAGTCTACTATTTACATGACTTATCGAAAACTAACATTTCACATTAATTTCAGTGTAAGAGAGGTTAAACAACAGTCGTGGTTGACAAAAAAAAATAAAGACGCAAAAACGCTCCATAATTATATTTATACATATTTCAGCTTAAAATATTTGTAAAATACTTTTAGAACATTTATAAATAAATATAAAGCATTGTTATATAGTTAGAATTTGAAAAAAAAATACTAAGTCCTGAAAAGAGACTCGAACCTATGTATATACGCAGAAAATGAGGAAAAAATCGGTTTTTACTTTTTTTCACTGCGGCGCACAGTGGTCCCAAATCGTGAAAACGTGGCCAAAACCCCAAAAAATAATTTTTCGGTATGGAGGTTTTACCTGTTGGAATCGGCAGTTTAAGGATGTCTCTTTAGGGTAGGGAAAATGAAATGAGTCATATTTTTATACCTGGATGGCAATTGCGATCCAAACTTCGGCTTCGTTAGTCAGTCGTTTGTCGAGAGCGTAAGCGTCAATTCGTACCACAGAGTGAAAAGTGCATAAGTTTTTTTAGAAGACATCAATTTCAATTCTGCAAAATGGATGCTGTTCCTGGAAGTAAGTAGAACATTTCTGATGTACTAACATATTAAAAATTGTTATCCATTAATTTTTTAAACCGGTACATTCATTACTGAAAATAAAATGTAAAATTTCATGCATGCATCGCAAACAAGTAGGCAAAAAGTTGCTCATCCTTCAAGATCGTTACTAAATCACGCGGTTTTTTCTTGGAAACTGTGGCATATACAACAAATTTTTTAAAATAAATAATGTATAATTTTGGGTGGACTTATTATTAGATTTAATAAATTTTGAAATTAATGCATAAATAATTTTTCATTATTAAATATTGTATATTTTTCAATGAACCAGTTGATCTACTTCATTATTGACTATAAATATGCATTAAACTATTTACATGAAAAATTATTTATTTCGAAAATAGTTAATAAAATTTGAGAATTCCAAACTAAAACATTTTTTCGCATTTGCCATGTAAAAGCACTAAGAATCAAATAATATGAAGGCACTGCTGTAAGCTGTAAATTGTGCCTTATACCTGCCTGACTTTATGACAGACATAAAACATTTGTGCGGTATTGCCTTTCGTTTTCATTTAGATTTTTTACTTATACAGGGTATTCGGCCACCCCTGGGAAAAATTTTAATGGTAGATTCTAGAGGCCAAAATAAGACGAAAATCAAGAGTATCAATTTCTTCACTGAGGCTTCATTAAAAAGTTATTAAAAAATTAAATTAAAAAATTTCAAATCATTCTGAAAAAATTATTTTTGGTTGCGGGGCTCAATTATAATCACTTTTGTTGAATACACATACCTCCGAAATCCGACGTGTTTTCGTGAAAAAAATTCTTTACCGAAAATATACTGTGTGGCCGGAAATGTTTCTATAACTTTTTAACGAAACCTCAATCAACAAATTAGTATTCTTGATTTTCGTCTTATTTTGGCCTCTAGAATCTCCCATTAAAATTTTTGACCAGGGATGGCCGAACACCCTATATAGCAAACTAATAGAGAGCAAGCAAAAAATAGCCTACGATGAATAATCTTAAAGCTTTTGCTTTAATTCTTGAACAGTGTGTTTTAAATATATTGTAATTTATGTATAATTATGTATAATATATTGTAATTTTATTTATTTACAGCATCTTCCGACAGTGAAATAATTTTGACCAGAAAAGAAATTTATTTCATGGTAAAAGGCCATTTAAATCACCCAACGAGGGATATTCTTCAATGTTTAGAGGAGCAGCTAAGTCAGAAAACGTTACACATGATCAAAATAATAGAAAAGGAAAGAATTTCTTTCTTTGCCAAACTATTTTCTATCATGAAGAAGAAATGGATCAAATCAAGTAGATGCGAGAAATTTTTTTTGGAGAAAAACACAGAATGGCTCAGTGTTTCACTAGCGATCCGCATACCAGCCGCAATTACAGAATCATCTGAAAAGAGACCTGGTCGACCTTTTTCACAATTCGACGGCTTAAGTGAAAGGTCTAAACGAAGAAAAACCGAGGAAATTCGAAGAAACTTTTCTCCCGAACAATTGTCTTACGCTATACAGATGAGTCTTCGAAGTGCAGGAGAAGTAGACGCTTCGAAAGTTATAAAAGATATAACTTCACCGAATACATCAAGAGCTACAGTTTACAGAAGATCTGTGGAGAAAGTTGTTGAAACAACACTGTCCGGTGATGCTGCTCTGTCACTGATAATTGAAAATAAATTATCTAAGAGGCAATATCTAGGATTGCGGACTACAAGTAAGGAAAATAATTGCAATTTATATCCGCCATACAACATGGTATTAGAAGCCAAAAGAAAATGTTATCCGTCCGCAGTGGATATTACAATTACAGAATATAGTGCAGAGGTAAAACTGCAAGCTTTATTGGATCATTCAATTCAACGGATTTTGTTAATTCAGAATGACATTATTAAAACTTTGACCCCATCAAAGGTACAACAAATGACTTTGATTTGCAAGTGGGGATGTGATGGAAGTTCCAGTCAAAGTATGTACAAACAAATATTTACTGTTGATGGAAAATCCGATTCAGATATTTTTCTGACATCACTTGTGCCACTACAACTTACATCTGGAGATAAAACCATTGTATGGAAGAATGCAAAGCCATCATCCCCTCGATTTTGTAGGCCCATCAAAATTCAGTTTACTCAAGAAAGCACGGAAGTAAATATAAACGAAACAAAATATATTGAAGAACAAATAAAAAAACTTGTTCCCTTCGATACGATAATAGATGGGAAAGAAATTTCAATTTCGTATAAACTTGCGTTAACCATGATTGATCGTAAGGTATGCAACGCGATCTCATCCACCTTGTCCACTCAACGCTGCTATTTGTGCGGAGCAACAGCAAAACAATTCAATGATGTTAATAAAATGCTGCAACAAGAAATTAATGAATGTCATCTTCGCTTTGGATTGTCAACGCTACATGCATGGATACGCTTTTTTGAATGTTGTCTGCACTTATCATACAAGCTACCAATAAAGAAGTGGCAAGCTCGCAGCACCGAAGAAAAACAGATAGTGAAAGACCGTAAAGAAATTATTCAACGAGGTTTTCAACTACAACTGGGGCTATTAGTAGACCGTCCGAAACCTGGATTTGGTAGCACCAATGATGGTAATACGGCTCGCCGTTTCTTTGAAAACTACCAAATATCGGCATCAATAACTGGAGTTGATGAAGATTTAATTAAAAGTTTTTTCGCAATACTGCAACCAATTTCAAGTGGCCACGATGTAAATTTGGTCGAATTTAAAAAGTACGCTGTTGAAGTGGCAACAAGATTCGTAGAACTATATCCGTGGTATTACATGCCAACTTCGGTGCACAAAATTTTAATACACGGCCCAGAAATAATAAGTTACGCATTGTTACCGATTGGACAAATGTCTGAAGAAGCACAAGAACACAGCCACAAATATATTAAAAGCTTTCGGAGAGATTTTTCACGAAAATGTTCTCGTACAAAAACAATGGAAGATGTATTCTTGCGGCTCTTACTATCATCAGATCCATATATATCAAATTTAAAAAAAGAATCAAAAAAGAAATGCAAGAAATTCACGCCGGACGCTCTGCAGCTATTACTTCTACCAATTACCTCTGAAGAAAGTACCGATGATGACACTGATGTATCAAATTTCAGGTGATTCCGACATTTCTTTCGCATATGTGTGAGCTATATCGGAGCCGCCATTTTGTTTTTTTAAATTATGACTTTTGATTCGTAATCAGCAACCTCGATAGTAACTATGTATCAAATTTCAGGTAATTCCGACATTTCTTTCGCATATGTGTGAGCTATATCGGAGCCGCCATTTTGTTTTTTTAAATTATGACTTTTGATTCGTAATCAGCGACCTCGATAACCCCTACCTACAAATTTTTAGCTAAATTGAAGAACTCCTTCATATTATGGCCAACTTTTCGGCATTTGGGACCACTGTGCGACGTTGAGAAATAAAGAACTTCAAAAAGTGAACGCTGTGATTGTATAGTACCAACACGCCTATCCCTTCAAAATAAATATTATTTCCCTAAATAAGCTGTATTTCAATTTACTATTAATTAACTAAATGAAGAATCTAAAATCAATTGAAACACATTATTTATAAAATACAAATTAACATTACTTGAAATGATTTTTTAAAAATTGCTATTTGAAATAAATTTCATCCAGTTCCGAATTAAATCCACTTATTTGAACAAGAAGTATGGTCATACGAATGGAAAGTTAAAAATAGTTGGGATAATCGGTGAACTCTTATTATACGATCCTGTCCAGTTATTATAAATTGTTTCTGCCCGGCTGGGTTCGTATGAATGAAGTTCTATTATATCAAAATATTACTTCCTTCTCTACAAAGAGAAATTAAACAGCAAAAGGACGTTAACGTAGCCACATTTAAAGAAATAGTTTCAATATAATGTTTGAGAATACAAGTGTATTTCAAAGTGCTTCAGTAGCAGTATACATACAGTATGCATCGAAATTTAGTGCATATACATGTATATCGTAGATAGGACTATCTATCTCGAAGTAATCGGACGATTGCATAAAATAAATAACTAATTAAGGAGATAACAATTATTATAAAATGTTTACATATTAGATTACAACGAATTTGATGTCTGAAAAAATCAAGCACAAGTGACAATTTGTATGCGCGAAACATTCTGTTGCTTTCTGTTTATGGTATGAAGAGTTGGGCCGGAAATAAATATCATAGATGAAATATGCGTTTAAATAGTAAAAGCGATACAAACCACATGTAAATATACTGCAACGAAATCTATATCTATGCCGCGAATGACGATTCATTTAATATCGGGTTATACATTTTCTTATCAAAAAAAAAATAAATTCAAAGGATCTTCTGGTACTTCAAACTGTAATACGCCCGAGTGTGATAACTGTAGTATCTAGGTTCGTGTCTCATATTAATTATATTTTTCATGTCTGCAGATCTTTTGTAACTTCTATCAGTGTTCTTCTCATCATAGGTTCTCATTGCTCGTTCAGCCCATTCTTGAGCCCTGGGAGGTTCACGAAATATGCCTCTCTGTCTTTGATTGAGATAATCAATCACATCGTCGTAGTAATTTTTCCTGAAAAAAAAGATAAAAATTATTACTCCTGATAATTACATTTGTAAAAAGCAAAGTCAATAAGTCTATTAGTCACCGGACGTTTAATGAGTATGAAATAAAAACGAATTAACAATTAAAAAATGAAACAAAATAATGTTGATAAATTATGAAATTAACCAATACTTGTTTATTTATTACATTATAAAGAAAAAGTAACTTATATTGTGTCATAGATTTTACCAAATGTTAGCGAACAATACAAATGTTTTCGTTTTACGAATGCATTACCCTCGTTAGAAAACGATCATTCAAATTAATGGTGGAATACTATTGACAATTATGTTTAACTATTTTTTTCATTAATGTAATTCCAACCTTTCTGTAATATTTCCCACAACTGAAAATTTGCTTTCTCATACAATTATACTTATTGGATATTAATTTTAATTTTATACAAGTATTATAGAATTTCCAGTAAAGTAGTAATTTAAAATGAGTAAATACAATAAAGCAAGCTAATAATGTCGTATCAGAAAATTGTATCTACACCTAAATTTGCATTTTTTAACACAGATGAGCAAAATGTCCGATGATTTATGAATGGTAGTGTATGTCATTTATATTTAAAAAATTATATCAGAGATTAATAATTAGGTCGAAAAATTAAATTAATTTAAAGAATTGTAAATATTTAAAGTTTCTAAATTTATACCAAACAAATCAACAAAACTTATTATTATTAAAATCATCAATTCGAAATTTTTAATTGAATTTTTAAGAACAAAATGACTAAGTAATGGTTTTTATAATAAATGAAATATTGAATATATTTGCTTGCTATATCTTTTCAATTATAATAGCTGCACATTATACATAGCCGCAACAGCAATTATAATTTTGGCCACTATGATATATGTCATTATCCTTTTACACATTCTAGAAAGATTAATTTACACTTACCTGTAGTCGTAAAGATATGCGTAATTGAGAAAGAGAGGACGGACCCAGTGATGATTGTAATGTGGTGGTTCAATTTTTTCTAATTTTATTTTTGGCTTTTCTCCAGGAGCTGCAGCAGCAGCCGGTGCAGCTCCTTCTGCAGGCGCATCATCAGCGGGTTGTTCCTCTGGAGTTTCTTCAATATCCCATGGTGCTGGTTCATCCTCGTCTGCCCACATGTTTCACAAATTCAAAAGTAAATTGGGCCTGGAATACATACATAATCGTATACAACCTCACACTTTTCTATGATCTTTGTTTCTCGATGTTGAGATACTATTGTTGTCAACAATCGTAATATACAGAGTGTCGTTCCACGCAACTGGAAAAAAGCTATATCTCTAAAACGGTTAGAGATACAAGAAATAAGACAAAATTAAACAACAACGAATAATTTACAAACTCAATGTAATTTTATTCATTTTTATGCACCTAAAAAATGCAATTTCACTTGTTTAACTTGATCGGACTACTCGATACAGTTTTTTAATCTCCATAAAAAAGTATTAGATGCAAAGTACTTAGGCCTTAAACTTAATAGTTCAAGAGTTATAACACTTTAAAGTTCAAACTTAATCGATAGAATGTCACGATTAAATATAATTTATAGTTTCGCTGTAATATGAAGAATTGATAAGAGATAATTTCACTTCGTAATGGTAATTGATTCTTATACTGCATTTACTGAGTGTTTGGTAACTTATAAACATGTTTTGAAGCAAACATCACTGGAAATGTCGGTTTTATACATTGGTCTTCTGGATAAATGTAAATATTTGAATATTTTAAAAAAAAATTTAAAAGAAAGTGCTAGAAAACGAGGTTATTAGGCAGTTTTTATTTCATATTTTTAACAAAACAATGACCTCAAAAACTGTAAAAGAATGTTTATGTATTGTATACACCAGCATAAAGTTCAGACATTAACCTCATTGAACATCTGTGGGCAGAAATCGGCGGGAGTAGGAAAAATCGGTCATAAAATCGTATCCTGTGAACGAACTGTTACAGTTTTCTTCTTAAATGCAAAATGATGTACTAAACTTTGAAGGTTCTCTTGTATATTTTATATAATCGTCAATATTCAACACGTTTCTTCAATTAGACCATTCAGTTAGTAGTCTCAATTGATATATTTAGCTAATGAGATATATTTAACGAGGAGAAACAGGTCACGTTAAGATACAACAAACTGTTTGATTGTGACATCGGTTAGTATTTGAAACAATAGAATGCTTTATGTAGTAATGTTCTGACTTAATTGGAACAAGTATGATAACAGTTTTCGTATAATGTCAGTGATGTTATATGATATACGTTAAACAGTAAATTGGACTATCTTTATTTAATTACAGATTACTTGAAATTATCAAACCGTATACAAATCGTATACAAACCTGAACAATTGGATTATATAAAACATTTGAATATATGTATGATATAAAAAATTATTTTAGTGAGTTAGTAAAGTTGTTCTTTGATCGTTAACATTAGTAACGTTTTATAATATTTACGAAATAATAACATAGGTCGTTTGATATTTAACTGTTAATGACCATTTAAGACACAAAGCTCAATGTTCGACGATTTTTTAAAAGTGGAAATGGTGTGTCAGAATGAATTATTTTTACAGACATCATACGACGTCTAAGGTAACTATAAAATGTAAAAAATCAAAACATATCGTAACATGACACAGTTTTCAAGAATAATGGAATGTCGATTAACCGAAATGTTGATCTCAGAAGTTAATAATCAACTTTTAAAAGTGTATAATCAGTCTTTCCAATTAATCGATTCTGGCCTACTCTTAAACTTGTCGAGTTTGAAAATAAAATTAGTTCTCTTAATACATATGCGGTAGCCGTATATATCAGTATAATATTGTTTTGTATTCGGTAACAAAAACTATATCTACTCTTAAAATATTAGACCAGAAGAAATGGTATATCTGCTTGTTATTGAGCAGATTTAAAGAAAACTTCGCAGTTTTTATAGTTGTGACATTGATTGGGCGAAATGTTAAATAAGAAATGGCACTGACACTTTTAAACAACCACAACAAATATATTCACTGTCACTTGAAACTTACAACTTTTTGGAACTAAAACGCACAACATTATTCGAAACCACACTATTTAAATTATTCGTCAGAGGAGGACGGTTGTTAACAGTTTGAACAGTTGAGCGATAAGATACCTGTAGTATGATGGCCACTCCTCTAAGTACCTCTTCAGACTGAAAAAAGAGTCTCGCGAACCTTGCCTTGTTTCGCTTTTATTTTAGCTTATAAGATTTTCCTTGGCTTCCCTCCGGTCTCCCCCTTAAATAAAAGAGTACCCCTCTCCGTACGAACGATAGGAAAAAACGTCTCGTGGGGGTGGGGAGAGGACAAATTTTTGGCACCCAATGATTCTAATCATTGTTACCACACAGGGCAATAAGTAACTTAGTACACATGTGAATTTCATTAGCCAATGTTACAGCTTCGTGTGAAACAGCATGTGTCCTTGTGCTAATTAATTTATTCATAATTAAATTAACGAAATCGATGGTGGTTGTAACAAGAACGTAAAACAAAGGCTGTAACAATAGGTCGATTTTTAACCATGGTATCAATGAAACATTTTATCAGATTATGATTCTTTACTTTCTAAAGAGTATGAAATGCACAATTGTTTATTCGAGAAGGGATGGGAAAATTGTTAAAAATAAACGCAAATTTTGAAATATTATCATCTTTGATATTCACTAAGTGCTTTGATATTTTTTTGTATGCAAAGTGATGTATCAGTAAAATAATCATTTTAAATAAGGGAAAGTACATTCTTTATAATTTAGTGCCACTTATATTACTAAAATTATAAAATTATGGTTACATAAGAGTAAGAATCGTCAATGCCTGCATTAAGATTATTTTCTTAATGAGGAGCAATGTTTAAACATTTAACTAAAAGATAATAATAAATTGTTTGATTTTAAAGTATTTAAAAATATATAATTCTTTGAGGAAAACATCATAATAATCGAGATCATCAGCTTAGAAACTAATTATAAGAGTCGATTATCTTATGGTTATCTTACAAGTAAGATCCATGTTAAGGTTAGATTCATAGATAAGGATGCATTATTTATGCTTTTTTACATATGCTCGACATTAATTCACAGACGATCAGACCAGACGATCATCATCAGACGAAGAAAATATCGAAATATGTACGTTACACTGGGTGAGTCTTACAGTCAGTAATTTACGTTTATTTTTTATAACTTTCCCTCAGTTCTTGGTTAAATAAGTATGTATTTCATACTCTTTAGGAGATATAAATTATATTCTGATAACATTTTTTGTTGGCAGCATGGTTCAAAATTGGCCTATTTTTACCACCCTCTTTATACAGTCCTGTGAATAATTATAAACTTAATGGTATTTCTCCATTGTCCATAACATTGTAGCAAAAGTTGAAAAAATCGTTTGTGTTTTTATATTGCGATACGAAACAAAAATTTTCTTCTTCGGAAATATAATTTTCTCTTAAAATTATATCTTAGACCGTGAAAAAAAATATAAATTCAACATTAATTTTAGTTACTTTTCATATAGTATTTAATGGATTTTCCTTTATTGTTGATTACTTTTAATAGCCAGTAAGTACATACACTATAAATTCAATTGTTTAAAGCTTCATTTGGAATATTTATCCGCAAATCAGAACTCGGTGCTAGTAGTGGTAATAACTAATCCCGAATTCTTGAAATCACTTTTTTTTTATTACAAGAAATGTATGTATGTATGTATTAACAAGAATTAATAACTATTTGTTATCTTTTATAACTAAAGATTTTGTTACCTTATCTAACTAAAAGATAACAAATGGTTATCTAACAACTGTTAATAACCACTAGCATTCAACTACCATTCTACCATTTACGAAAACTAATTCACTTTAAAAATTCTTATTAAGGGAAGCCCAAATCATAATTAATACACCACCCTTAACTCTATGTGATATGATCCTTTTTTCTTTCATTAAATCGTGCCAATAATAATTTATGTTATTGTGTACACACAGATTGAATTTTGTTCGTCGCTAAAAATCACATGTTTCGTCTATTTACATATACGTCCATTGTGAAATGGAATATATCAGCTAATATCGATACTTATCGCATTCGACGCTTTTGTAATACTGGTTTTCGTAAACAATTTTGATATTTAAAGTTCACAGAGTCCCTAACCTACTTTCTTACGAGACTGGTATCATTTTCCAAATTAAATCGACTTACGACAGTAGATGAAAAAACTCCCAGTTTGTTAACTTTCCTTGAAATCTCACGTTATGTAGTTGACGAAGATCGTATATATCGTCCAGTTCGTTTGTTTTTCTCGAAATTTTTGATGCCCAACTTAAAAAATTGTATAGTTACACTGCAATCTATTAGTTATACTTACAATTTATCAGTTTTTCTGCAACTCTTCAAATCGATTATTCGTTGTTTTTCGATATCACAAAGAGAATGTTTCACAAATCTTGAAAGAAGAAAAAAAAATTTAGATATTTGTTGTAATACATACTATTACATCGAATAAAAGTGACAGAAGCACAGAATTATATTTAATAAGCTACTAACAGCTATTTTATAAATATTCACAGTCTTATTAATCTTATTTTTTAATATTGAACAGATAGTTTGTACGTCCAAATGAAAATAAACAGCTGTTTATACATATACAGAACTTCTTAAAATTCAACTATAAACATATTTTGGCACGATCGATTGAAAATTGTTAATTCCTGAAAATATTGTAGAAAAAAGTAGAAAAAGTTATAAAAAAAATTTGAACATTTTTCAGTAATATCATTATAATATTTCAAACGATAATAAAGTTGTTACATGTTTGTAAATAATATAATTATACAAATTAGAGTAATTAGTAGGGAAATGATGTGTTTAACGTTAGAAAGTTGAAATTTATAAATAATCTTCTGTTAAAAGATTGTAAATTGTATACTGCTTTGATATAGATGCATTATAAATACTTTCCGTAAAGTAGTGCTTTATTCTTTTATGTTCTTGTATGTTTTGAAAACAAATGGACCAACTGTAAGTACTTTGTATTTACATGTAGCGGACTTAATTATGGATTTTTATTAATCTATCTTATAATATTCGTTTTATCTTTAGAATCAAGAAATCATCTACACCTTTTTTGAAGTTTGATTTCTCCATTTTATATCGTGTAATAATATCTGTTACTACTTTCCTTCGTGTCCAACAAATTTACTATTTCACGATAACTTTTACCTTCTTCGTAATTAAAATTGTAATTCGTTGCTATTTATAAAAATTTGTGTTTTTTCCTTTTTTATGACATATAGCGAGTCAATATTTGATGGTTAATGTTTAATTTTCCGATGTAGGCGGACTTAGGACCACCATGCTACTGTTATGGTTACATTTGAAATGCAATCGGTTTAGAACATTTCTTAGAATTAATCGAGCAAGCCACACATATGTACGGGTCGTTCAATAAGTCCTTAGAAAATCCAAGACTTGGCGCCCGTAGCATCGAAAATGGATTGTTTTTAGTAAGCATCATGACTCACTAGACAGCTGTCAAAGTCTCAGTTATATCCACCACATGGTTTTATTTTTATTGTCGATTGAAAAAAGAAACTTCCTCTTGCATAAAGACAATGCATGGGTGCATACCTGTGCAGTTTCGATGGCCAAAATCATGGAATTAAAGTTCGAATTATTACAATATCCACTGTATTCACCGGATTTGGCCCCCGGAGAACGCCTGGGAAAGTGTATAGAGCTAAAAGATTATGTTAAAAAATTAAAAAAAAAAATACCTAAAATAATTTGTTTTTCTATCTTTTTCTAAAGACTTATTGAACGACCCTCTTACATACATATGTATCGTATCCGAATATTTCTCTAACGCAAAACTTTGACGTTGTTTTGTTTAATATCTATTAAACAATAAGATATTGCTGTTGCAAGACAAATTTTTCTATTTCTGTTGTCTATAATAAATAAGTTAACATAGTAAAAAGCAAAGAAATGAATATTTTAATAATTTAGGAAAATATAAAGTTAAATTTAAAAGTATTCTAGTGTCCAAATATTAAAATAGGTAATTGTAAATCTGTACCAAATTCTTTATTAATGACTCGCGTTGTTGCCGCGGTATTGCCCCAATTTGAATTCGTAAAAGGAAATTAATTGACTTCGACAAGAAATCATGTTCCTCTTTCAATTGCTGTTAAACAAAATATTATAATGATATTACTGAAAAATGTTGAAACTTACTTAAATACTTCATTACTAATAACTATATTTTTTTAGTCCTCTAAATTTAAATATTATAAATTTTTGTATTATCTATCATTTTCATTAAATCCAAAACTAAAATAATAAAAATGTAGTATAGTATAGCATAATTAAATAGAATTAGGCATTAATATTATTGTTGTTTATTTATTAAAAATCAAAGCTTGTCAACTTTGTAAGAAATAGTTCAAATGGACTCGGAGTTTGCTGAACGAGAGTTAATTAATTCTAAAATTATAGAGTTTGTGTAGAGAGACAGTGATGGCTCGAAACCAGCGTAATAAAGTCAACCTTAGGCCATCACCGAGCGGGTGAGCTTGACCATTGCTCCCGTACCGTATCATCAAGAGGTAACATAATGGTTAGGCACTTACAAACTGAACAGCGCAAGCGCAATGGGAGAGGTCGTTCATTCTACATAATTCCGATCAGAAAACCTCACTCTTATGTTCTTAGCAGTCACGCCACATACTAGTAGGATCCCCATATCCGCGAGAGATATATGTATTTTTGTGCTTTTAAGTTTATGGCTACGCCAACGATATGTTTTGTTCGCATCCTTGTCACGCGATGGAATTGTAATTGTGATCGATTCAGCCAATAATGACAATGCATCTGAGGATAGGCGTCGCTATTACGTTACGGCCAATCAGCGTGCCTAGCCATTAAGTCATCTCTCTATGGTTCTCGACCAGCCCAAGAGAGACCCACGCATCCGTTTGGTTGTCCAGGTGGCCAGGGGAGGTGAATCCCTACGAGACGCGTTCCCAGGTGGCGGATAGAGGCAGTCGCTGAAATGGGTTGCGGGGATGGGCTCACCAGCCTAAGAAGGCTTGTGCGTGGGTCTTTTGCCGAGGGTTGTACCCGAG